AAGCCTTCACATGTTTTCTTTCCCCCTTATCAAAAGGGGGACGCTGTAACATCTCTTATACAAAATAAAATTGCATCAACACGTTGAGTTACATCTTATTTTGTTGGCATCGATGTTGGAAAACATGTTCATGCTGTGACCACATGGCACGCACTCGCAACTCTTCTTTTGACCTTGGGGAACTTGCGTCTAGTTCACTCATCGTCTCGCGTCTCTCCCCCACGTTCTTGAGACGAACTCACGTCCACTTCCTTTATGCATTCCGCCCAACATTTGAGTGAATCAACTGGAACTGGTTTGGTTTGGACCCCAGCGTAACTGTGGATCTTGGCTCTGGACAGCTCATCCGCTGGGTTGGACTGTGATGGTACCCTTTCAACCCAAGTGACCAATCCCAGCTCTTCTTCCGAGGAGCAGATCGACCTCACGATGAGGTTCATGTGGTGATTCTTTGACTTACATTTGATGAGGCAAGATTGGGCACTCTGGTTATCTGTGAAGATCACAGTCCTTCTGCCTCTTGCATGATCACCAAAAGTGCGCAATGCCGCTGCTATGGCCAGGCCCTCTAACTCGAAAATCACCGTCTTCTGGTCTCCTTGTTTGAGCTGTTCTACCAAGACATGCGGAACTTCTTCGCTGAAACAAGCTAAACAGTTATACCTGATGAGTCAAAGATCAAGCCCCCGATTCCAGAGTATCCAGTGGGTTCGAAAGCAGCATCCACGTAAATGTGGGTCCAGTCCAGGAAATTGACGTCCACTCTCCTGGGCAGGTTGTGTGAAAATTTGACATCTGTGGTGAGATGAATCCATTGGTCCTTTCATTGGTCTTTTCTGCATTGGAAGAAGTGAATTTGTTTTTCATCTTGATGATGAGCTCAACCGTGATGGTTGACATCGTATTTGCACGTTTCATGTTTTGCACGTTTTATTGGAGATGACGAAACCCAACAACGATATACTTTTCGTCTTCTTTGAGTACTTTGATTGCACGGAGAACATCGTGAGGATTTGAATTTGTATAGTGACATGGAAAATCAAACCATTTTCCATACCTTTTGCATTAGTTGTCGTCGACGAAGTGCACGAAGGAATCGTGAGAAGATCGTAGAATTCATTTTGTGACTTCGGAAGAAGGAACTTTGTTTGACATTGATCGGAGAAGTGTAGTTTGTTTTGTCTCTCAATGATGATAGCGAGAGCAACATTCTGAAAGGCATTCAGAACTGGAGTTGCTAACAGATCTGAGGGAGACAGCATGAATCATGTTTTGGTGCTTGAAATGTTTCAACGTTTTTCAAACACTCAAACTTATTTAAACAAACAAACCATGTCTTGATGTAAAGACTTTTTGTGAGGACATGTGTTTTTGATCGCTTTTGTGAAAGTTAGCAGAAAGATGCTGACTGGCGACTCCGCATCATTTTGTGTCAAGGCGTGACACACCAACAAGAACCATAGCGACATGAGCAGACATTTCTGTGCTTGTGTGTTTGGTAAAAGTGGCTGAGCTCTGGGAGTGGTTGACTTGGTTGCGTGGACGGTCTTAGTGAGTTAAGGACGACGTCCTGGACGCTGACCCAAGTAGGTTTCGAAGGCTGTCGGCCTTCCGCATGGTAGCGGAGCTGCCTGCTTGCAGCTCGTGAGTAGGAATGGATCCAGGTAGTGTGAGCCAAGGTGTGCAAGGTTGTCCTAGTCCTGGTATGGCTGAAAGAGGTGAAGGAATTAGTGGTACCGGAAATGGTGGTTGTAACCGTAGTGACGGATTGCCGCCAGTGCCAAGAACGCCTAGTCAGCAAGGTAGTGGATCTGGTATGGATGGACAAACACCTGAAGTAAGTAACATGCCCCAGCAGCAGCCACAGCAACAACAAGCAAATGTGTCACAGAACGTACAGGGATTTGCGAGCACGACAAACCTGGATGCAGGTGGTCAGGTAGGTCCGGTGCAGGGATGTCAACAAGGAAATGTCCCCGGAATGCAAGGACCGGGACCAGCATGGTTTGGTGCGCAATGGATTCCCCAACAACAAACGTTTATGCAACAGAATTCGCAAGCGCGTGTGCCAAGTTGTGGTTGTGCGAGTATGCCCGGTGGACCAAGGTCTGGAGATTTTCCAAACTTAGGAGTGAACCCAATGAGTTGCCAAGGAAACATGCCGAGTGGCCCGGTTGGAGCGAGCTTGGGAGGTTTGACGCCTCAGGCGGCGCAGATCCAAGAGGTCATGGCCATGTTAGGTAGCATGAGTGAGGGACAGCTACAGACAGTGCAGCAGCATATGCAAGATCGTTTTGTAACTATGCAACAGAGAAGAGGGGTTCCAGAAGTGTTTGGTGATGGTCTTGGTAGGGCAGCTGATTCGTCGTTTGTGACTCCGCAGCCATTTGATGTTTTGCCTGGTTTTGGTGTTCAACAATCAAATCATGGAAATTCACAGCAATTGGATGTCTTCGCCAAAAGCGAAAAATGGTTGACACCGGCACCAACACCAGTAGGAACTTGGAAGACAAGAGAAGAAGAGGTGTCAGGTTGGGCTGGCTATTTGGATGAGTTGTCATCCTGGGCAGCTGGTGGAAGTTTAGAATTTTCCGTAGAAATCCAGCATAGTAGCCGTTGGCCCGGTCCCATCAGATGGAGTGCTCTCAGTGGAGCACAACAGGCAAGGTCTCGAAGGCTTATGTCCATCTTAAAAGCTGCGTTTCACGACAACCCCAGGTGTGTGGCGTTGGTGAACGCCTTCAGTGAGGGTGTGGCATTACATGGAGTAGGATCTAGTGACAGAGTGACAGTGGCAGTAAACCAACAAGCAAATGGGTTTGAACTGCTTAGGCAACTTACTCTTGAATTTTCTCTGAGGTCAAGATCCGAAGCGCTCTCACTAAGGACGCAGATTGCAGGGAAATCCTTTGTCCTGGCGGCGACACAGACATCGCCGAGTTCCTTGGTTAGTGATACTATCAGAAGAATTGATTATGAAGCCGCAAGGTTCTCAAGGTTGCTAGGAACTCTCCCTATGCAGGTGGATACCACAGGACTGAAGCTGGCAGATTCTGACATGCTAGTTGTTCTGTTGAAAAGCCTGCCTGAAATAGTGAAGAACTACGGTCGCCACCACAGCGGCGCAGACAATTACGAGTCCTACAGGAACGCTGCGATGCGGTGGGAAGAGCAACAGCGCCTGTTTAGCGATTTTGAAACAACAGGCCACAGCAAGAGATTGACTTCCCTGGAGGGGAGTGTAGAACATCATTCTCTTGATGACGAACTTGTAGATGCGGTGGAAGGCAGATGCGGAAAGTGTGGAAGTCGGAAACACACTGCGGCAGCTTGTACCGCAGACATGAGCAGGATCCGGTGTTTTAGATGTGGTAAGAACGGACACATCAGCTTCAACTGCCCTGAGAGCAGAGAAGGTAAGGGTAGTGTAAGGACTGACACTTGGGACAAGAAAGGTTCCAAAGGAAAAGGCTCTAAAGGTAGCAAAGGAAAGGGAAAGAAAGGTAAGTTGAATGAAGTTTCAGAGGATTGGACCGACTGGACTGCAGAGAGTTGGGGCGATGATGACTATTGGTGGCATGACCAATGGCCGGAGAGCTGTGATGGTCAATGGGGAGTTTCGCAGACATGGTGGGACGATGGTTCTGGATGGTATTGCGACGGGTATGGGTATACCTGGCAACAGGGACCAGTCCAAAGTGCGGAACCGAGTGCAAGTCACGACAATAAGTCTGATGTCCAAAAGACTGGCAGTGTCGGCAGCATGATCATAAATCCTTTGTTGTTTGACATGACATGTGAAACCACTGGAGGTCTTAGGTTTGTGCATGAGCATGAGGTTGCTGACATGGAAACCGAAAATAGGCTTGTGGTTGATTGTAAAGAGTTTGAAAGTGAATTGGCTGACACGTTGACATTGATCGGAGAAGTGTAGTTTGTTTTGCAATGTTCTGCTTTAGCAGATAATGCCTTATCTGTAAACAAACCTTGTTGTGAGTGTGAGTGCAATATGTTGCAACCACACGTCCTGCTCGTTGCGCCTCCCTCTCTTATGTCCCGATCCCACGCGTCCACGCTGTGCATGCATCTCTTCTTATGCTCCACGCGTCTTATGCGGTTACCCTCGCTCCTCTACTTGTGTGGCCAGGGTGTTGGATGACCTTGGGTCTGTTTATGTTTGGAGTTGAGTGAAACAGTGTCGGCACTCATTTGATGTGGACTGAGAAACCAACGTGTTGCGTATTCTGTTTCCTTTTCACTGGTTTGAGTTGATGTTTAGTGTGACTGGTTTGTTTTGTTGAGGATGATCATTTTCTACGTCCTTGCTTTACCAGTCAGTTTTTTGAAACAACTCAACAACCAAACTATGGACAAAAGATCTTAGAGACACACTTGAATAATGTTTCACGTGGTGCCAATTTTGGGTCAAGTGTGTGGGAGCGTTATGTGCTAGCCATGCGATTTCGTGGGCCCATTGCTAAAGGACAAGTGGCATTCCGGACTTACATCCTTCTGCCTTCAGGTGTCACGTCCTCAATCCTTTCACGGCCGTGGCTTGTGACTTGTTGTACCTTTACAGTGGGTTTCTGGTGTGGTTGCATTACAACGTTTTGGGTGCTTTACAATTTTCTGTAGCACATGGACCAACTCCATTTGCGCACACTGACAGAACTGTTACAAATCTTGTTAGCAGTGGTCATTGAGTTGGTGCGGCGATTTGGCTTTGTTCCTCCCGGGGCTCCTCAGCCGCCACAACTAGAAGTTTTTTGTGTGCAGCCTTGTTATTTTTGCGGTCTACAATGTCGCAAGGAGAGAGACCACCGCGGTCACCATCGCTGCCACCAACACATAGCCACCCGATGACTCCAAATTTTTCCCGTGAAATAGCAAGTGGGGTTTTGGATACTGTTTCTATTTGTAGTGGAAACTTTTCTGCAGAACCACCTGACGTATTGCCAACTCAATTGGATGGGACATGCCAGCTGTCAGAAGAGCATGATATGCCTGTAGATGTTCCCGCAGGGCAAGTCACACAGAGCAGTGCGTTTGGATTCCCAGATCCTATTCCCGATGAAGTTTTCGACGCATTTAGGTTCACTGCTGATGATCGCAGGGATTTGGACACGAGCAGACTGGATGATGTGCAGTCACAACAGGAGGAATCAGCAGGAGGACTTGCACCCAAGTTCACTGCAGCCAAGTGTGCATTGAGCCTCTCAGTAGAGCAACCAAAGTTTTTCTGGGAGACTGACCCCTTTTTGCAGACAATTTTTGGGTGTGACGATTTGGCAGCTCCTTCTTTGAAACGCCCTGAGCTGCCTATTGATATCAGTAGCTCACCTGCCGACACAGTCTGGGACTACTTGCAGAAGCCTAAGAGGCATGCCGCTGGTGGTCTGTGTGCTGAAGTGATCAGGCATGTGGAGCTCAAGGACGAGAAAGACAAGAGAGCTAGCGTGATATCCAATTGGTCCAGTCTTGTTTGCATTGACCTGGACGCTTTCACGTTGGGAAACGCTTTGGGTATGAGTCCCCATGGCACAACACACGCTGATGTTGAGAGCAGTTTGCACGCATGTTTTGCGAGAAAGGCAACGAGCACATTGAGTAAGAGGTTTTACGCTCTCAACAAGTTTGTCAACTACTGTTGCAGGAATGGGTTGCAATTCTTTCCAGCTCGTGAGCATGTGGTTTTCACATATCTCCAGCAGCTGAACGCCGACTCTACAACGTCTCCCTCAGCAGGCCGCTCACTGCTTGAAGCACTGCGTTTCGCACGGGGGGTCCTGGGCCTTAAGGCTGACTTGGTAGAGCTTGGCACCACCAGGGTTGATGGGCTGGCGATTGAGCTGACAAAGAGGGCTGGTCCTATCCAGCAAGCCGCTCCATTATCTGTGCAACAAGTGATGGCACTGGAGAGGTTTGTGGCTGAAACCGATGACCTACAAGACACGGTCATTTTTGGTGGAATGCTGGTCCTGCTTTATTCGTGTGGGAGATTTTCAGATGGACAGAGAGCAGTCAACATGATTCTTGACTGCGAGCTGGGTGCCTTAGATGTAGACGCCCTTGAGTGTCAGGGGTACATGGAGTTGCAAGTTCTGGGGCACAAAGGAGCCAGGAGTGACATTCTGAAAAGGACATTTTTGCCTCTGGTCGCACCCATCTATTCCTTGGCATCGGTTGACTGGTTCAGATCGTGGCTGCTTGCAAGGGAAGCGCTGGGCCTCACAACCAATGGGAAACTCAATTCAGGCCGAACGGAGAGGTGATGGACCAGGAGTTGACTTCAGCTGAGTGCAGCGCCCTGCTTCGAAGAGCCCTGAAGTTGGCTGGGGAACAGGCATCAGTCATCAGGTCACACAGCTTGAAAACAACAGCGCTGTCTTGGTGCTGCAAGCATGGAGTGGACATTCATGCGCGAAGACTGCTGGGGCACCATCTGGACCCCAACGTGAAGTCACCTGAGACCTATGGCAGAGATTCCATGGCCCCTGCGGTCAGGCTTTTTGAAGGCACACTTGCTGACATCAAGCGGGGAAGCTTCAGGCCAGATGAGACAAGGTCTGGGCGTTTTGTCAAGATGCCGGACAACACTATGGCAACATCGGACCACGATGATGAGGACAATGACTCGGACAGTGACTATGAGCCGAGCAGCAGCGAGTCAGAGGACAGCGATGAGGCACCATTTGGGTTGCCCTCTGAATCCAGCCTCCTGTGGCATTTGGCCATGCCTGATTTGAGGCCAGGGTTCATTGAAGTCCCAGATGGAACCATGGTGTACCGCAACAACGTTTCTGGAGTTCAGCACTTGAAGAAGGCTGGTGGATTGAAATTCATGTGCGGTCGCAGGCAGAACGACCGATACTCTTTTTACGCAGGGAAGCCTGTTAAGGGCGTTGCGTTGTGTGACCATTGCCTAGGTTGCAAGGAGTTTCAAACTGCTGGCCATGAGTAGAACATGTTCACGGCTGTCTTGTGATGAGTCATGCAATTTTCTTTCTTATGTGAACAAATTTTGCATGTCATGATGGAATACCAGTTTCAGTCATTGTTTTTGATTTCAATATCATTGGCCAGAGCCAACGGGCGTTGCAATGTGCGACGGCCTTAGGCGCATGATGGGCCCAGGTTTTTGATGGCAGCCAATGTGGCTGCGTGAATGCTGGCAGCCAATGTGGCTGCAGGCACTGGCGTCTGTGGCCGAGCGGCATATGTGACCAACTTCGGAACGCGCCTCGATGTGAGGGAACAAAAGATTGACATTGTGCGATCTTGTTCATCGCGTTGAATCCCATGACCTGCAACATGTTGCATGAATGTCAGTGCGTCATGTGATTTCATGTGCATTTCATTTTGGTTTCTTTGACTTGGCCCCAGCCGGGAGACATGTATCCCGCATGTACTGGGTATCAAAGAGATGATGGTGCAGCGCCTTTTCAATTTTGCATGATGACCAGTTTGGTGCAAATCCTTGGACATTGTTTTCCGAATGTTTGACAATTCTTTTTTGGACATGTGTCGCACGATAGGTTTGTGATACCAACAATCACGGTGTTCATGGCACTCAGAAACTGTCCATCAATAGATACAGAATCAAAGGTCATTTTGACCATTTCTGAGATTCTGACGCAATGGCAGGTTATGCTGAGTCCAATGCAAGTTTCAAACACAGGGCCAAGCAAATCCAACTGACAGACGATCATGTGCAGGCACTGCATGACAATGACATCCGATGTTTCAATCATTTGGCATTTGCAGTCAATGGACAGCCTGGACAGTTGGATCAGGAAAGATTTCAGAATCTGGTAGACATAGTGTGTCCTCGAGGTGCATCCATGGGTGTTCAGGCGAGCATCAAACAACTAGCTTACGAGGCCCTCACCATTGCAGTGGCTGCCATCAAGCAGCGTGTTGAGACCCCAGACGATGCTGCGAAGAAGTTGCCTCCTCAGGAAAAAGACCAACGATTGCAGAGCATCAAGCGGAAAATCACAGGTTTTGACATCAGTGGTGATTACGAGCCTGGACATTGTGTCATTGATGCTTTCGCTGGAATGCTCGAAGAAGGTGTTTTGAAATTTTTTCCGCTTAGCAAATGTGTGTCGCGTGAACAGGAGTTGCAATCAGTCAGGACCGACAAACAGGTCGTCATGCTTGAAAACCAGCAACTGCAGATCAAGGCAAGGGGTGCCGAGCTTACCACAGACCTTGGCAATGAGCTCAGGGTTCACCACGCTTTCATCAGGCGTGGCATTGCGCTTGACATGGCAAACATTGCAAGTTATCATGTGCATGAAAAGGTCATGCGTGAGTTCATGAGCCACCTCACTCGCACTGCACCCCATGGTTTCAAGGGACCTACAATTGAGTCAGTTTTGCGAGCCGACCGGGAGCTTTGGACAAGAGTTGCTGACAAGGTGCGGTCTAACCTGAGGCCCGACACAAATGATGTTTTGCCGGTTGATGCAGCATTGGAAGATTTGTACACATCGGCTTCAGTAGTGTTTCATTTGCTACCTTTGCCTGCTGCAAGTGGATCCTCACCTCCAAGCAAACGCAAGACGTCCGATGACGAGCCAGCCAAAAAGCCTCAGCCCACTGGTGACACAGCAGCTGGAAACAAGAACAGGAGAGGCAAACGCAACAGGCAAGGCAAAACCAATTTGCCTGCAGGGCTGCACGGGTACAGTGGATGGAATAAACAGAAACAGAGGATTTGTTACAATTACAACATGGTGCACGGATGTTCCAATTCTGTTTCGAAAGATGGCGCAGTTGACAAGTGCAGCCGTGGCACGCATCAATGCATCAAGTGTCATGGGAAGCACAGCCTGACGCAGTGCAATAACTGAAAACCATGTGTCCCGCCGAGCACACCGACAGAGTCAAAGCTGTCTTTTTCCGATTTTTTATTGTGGAAGTTTTCTGTGGCAAAGCGGGACTGTCTCGTGCACTACGCCGAAAAGGTTTTCAGGTTTTCTCCATCGATCACAAGGCAGTCAAGGGGCTTCCGATTTTGGTGATTGATCTGAATTCAGATGCCCAATTAAAAGTTTTTGAAGAACTGTTAGAGCAGCGAAGACTGCTGTATGTGCATTTTGCACCACCATGCGGCACTGCATCAATGGCTCGAACCATCTAGCTCGGGTTGAGACACGAGCCCAAACCACTGAGGAGCTTGAAACATCCCATGGGCATCCCGGGCCTCAAACATGTCCAACGTGAGCGTGTCAGACTGGCCAATAGGCTCTACAGATTCACCAAGAAGTTTGTGGCAATCCTCCACGCGCAAGGTATTGGCTGGTCAGTTGAGAATCCTGCAAGCAGCTTGATGTGGATTACAACGCCATTTGTTGAATTGATGAACGAGCTGGGAACTGAAATTCATGGTGTTCTTTTTCATACATGTATGTTTGGTGCGTCACGCAAGAAGCAGACGGCGCTTTGGACAAACATGCGCGAGCTGCTGCAATTGAACCGCTCATGTTCGGGCGATCACCCACACCAAGCCTGGGGCCTCACTGATGAAGGAAATTTCGCAACAGCTGATGAAAGCGCTTACAGCAGTGAATTGTGTGCGCATTGGGCGGCTGCCATCGAAAACTACGCGCGCAACAAAGGCTTACAACCTGTCCCAGACACCATGGACGAGATTGGGCCACATCACCTACATCTTAGGGACACAGCCAACAAAGCCATCCTCGGCGCACTGCCACGAGGCGGCAAATTGCCTCCCCTTTTGTCCGACTTCTTGCATGAGGTCGTGGTGCCGGTTGATCACCACTCTTTTCTACGGCATGCCAAGCCTGGAGCTCGCATTGCCGACAACAATGTGTTCCCAAAAGGGGCACGGCTGTTGCAAGTGTGGAATGCTCAAAGTGGGGTGGATGGTCAAACAGGTGGACAGAATGGGGCTCTTGTTGGGACGCAAAACAGTGCATTGCAAAACAGTGCATTGATAGCGAGGGTTGGCGTACCGGCAGAACCACTTGACTACGTGGCTTGGGCAGTGAAGCTGGTTCACCCCAACCTGCAACGTGTGAAATTATCAGATCCACTTGAAAACGCCATCAACATGTGTGGCCCTGGCAGGTCCATTGAGCTGCGAAGGGTCAGGATACAATGGACCAAACTCATGGTGCACTTAATGGAGGAGACCAAGAGCACCGAGGAGGAGCTGGTTAGTATCAGGCCGAGTCACTTGGCCACAGTGTTGAAGGGCAAGCGTTTTGGATTGCTGCATGCTGCTTTGGAGAGTTGCGGGTATCCAGATTCTCAAGTAGCTTTGGAGGCCAGTGTCGGCTTCCCCCTTGTTGGTTGGATGCGTTGTGCAGGAGTTTTTGCGGCACATGTCAGGCCTCCGGAACTTCATGTTTCTGCTTTTGAGACTATGGCGGCTTCTTACTCAGCTCGAACTGTGGCCAGTGTCAAGGCCTCAGGCGATGCTGACCTTGACAAGCAGGTTTGGGAAGCTACGCTAGCTGAAGTTGAAGATGGGACGTTGGATGGCCCTTACAGTGTTTCAGAGTTGCCGGCTGGACATGTGGCTTCACCTCGATTTGGCATCCGTCAAGGCCAAAAGACTCGACCCATTGACAACATGAGCGTGTCTGGGATCAACAGCACGGTTGGGCTCCCCGAAAAACTTCAAGTTGACACCATAGACGAAGTGGCGGCTATGGTGAAGCGTTGCATGCAACTCCACGGCGGTTCGTGCCGTTTGGTGGGACGCACATACGACTTGAAGAGGGCCTACCGCCAATTGGGGGTATGCGAGGAACATTACCGTTTTTCTTGGATAGCTGTTTGGTCGACTGACCATCATGAAGTCAAACTCTTCAGAATGAAGGGTTTACCCTTTGGAGGAACTGCATCGGTCGCATCATTCTTGAGAATGTCCAAGGCCTTGAAAGAGCTTGGCATTCTGGGGGCTTGTCTCGTCTGGTCGTCATTCTTCGACGACTTTGTTTGTGTCAGCAGACCTGAGGACATGAGCAGCGCTGATATGATTGTGCGTTTTCTCTTCCGGTCTACAGGCTGGGTACTCTCAGAAGATCCTGAAAAGGATGTTGGCTTCCAGCAGTGCTTCGCAGCCTTGGGTGTCGAATTTGATCTGAGCTCAGTCCATGAAGGGACACTGCGCATCGGTAATACGGCCAAGCGCAAGGCAGAGCTGCGGTTGATGGTCGAACGACACTTGGCTGAGGACTCTCTCAGCGCTGATGACTCCGAACGGCTTAGGTCGCGGCTCATGTTCGCGGAGTCACAAATCTTTGGGCGATCTTCAAAGCTGGCTTTGCGAGCCATAGGATCTCCAGCTCTTAAGGGGGCAACATGTGCGCCACTCAATGCCGATGTGAAATTTGGACTTCAGTGGATGTTGAAAAGATTGGTGGAGGCACCACCGCGGGAAATACGTGCCAAAGATGGCGGCACTTTACTTTTGTTTGTGGACGGAGCCTGCGAGCCATCCTCAGATCACAGTACCAATTCGGTCACCTCAATTGGAGCGATCCTTGTGAATGAGCTTGGCCAGGGTCTGCACTTCTTTGGTTTGCGATTACCCGTGGCGGTGACAGGACCATGGTCCGGAGGGTGCAAAGAGAACCTTGTTTTCGAGGCCGAGGTGCTGCCTTATACTCTGGCTTTGGCATGCTGGGGTGAGACTCTCAAGGGCAAACACGTCTTGGTGTTCATCGACAACGATGGTGCTAGACACAGTTGGATTCGAGGGACGGCAGATTCATTCTACGCTCGGTCCATGATCCACAGCGGGACACTGCTTGAGTCCGAGCTTGATGTTTCAGCTTACTTTTGCAGGGTCCCGACTCACAGTAACCTTGCAGACGGACCCTCCCGTCTCGATTTCCGATTGTGTTGGCAACTTGGTGCAGTTGAGACAGTTGTCGACCCTACTGTCCTGCTTCGCTATGCGGTATCTCAGTGAATGGTGTTGAATGAACATCTGGGGTGGTGACGGCATCCTGGAGATACCCCAACTTCCTGATATGCAGTGAAAGAGAAAAATGTTTGCGCTACCGTCGGCAGCAGAAGCATGGTCGGAATTTTGTGAGTGAGAAATATTTGATTTATTTGACGAAGCTGAATGATTTTCGTTTGCGTCATTATTCACCGATGCAGACATGTTGCGGCACGGTTGGATGTTTTTCATTTGTGAGCAGAGGTGACAGATTCATTTCATGGCGGCACGACGCATTTCCGTTTTTTCGAGTTATTGCGTAAGACGCGTGGCTGTTTTTGTTTGTGTATGCAGTAAAAGGGGTGCGTGGTGAAATGGTTTCAGTTGTGGGATGACAAATTGTGAAATGTGCAACGAGCTGTTCAAGTTTGTGTAAAGATAAGCAATGTTCTGCTTTAGCAGATAATGCCTTATCTGTAAACAAACCTTGTTGTGAGTGTGAGTGCAATATGTTGCAACCACACGTCCTGCTCGTTGCGCCTCCCTCTCTTATGTCCCGATCCCACGCGTCCACGCTGTGCATGCATCTCTTCTTATGCTCCACGCGTCTTATGCGGTTACCCTCGCTCCTCTACTTGTGTGGCCAGGGTGTTGGATGACCTTGGGTCTGTTTATGTTTGGAGTTGAGTGAAACAGTGTCGGCACTCATTTGATGTGGACTGAGAAACCAACGTGTTGCGTATTCTGTTTCCTTTTCACTGGTTTGAGTTGATGTTTAGTGTGACTGGTTTGTTTTGTTGAGGATGATCATTTTCTACGTCCTTGCTTTACCAGTCTGTTTTTTGAAACAACTCAACAACCAAACTATGGACAAAAGATCTTAGAGACACACTTGAATAATGTTTCATGTGGTGCCAATTTTGGGTCAAGTGTGTGGGAGCGTTATGTGCTCCCACCCTTGTATGTACCCACCCCGCAAAAACGCTTCTTTTGTCCCGTTGGGCTTACACATTCTCCTTTGTGGGTGAATTTATTTTCTTAGCCTAACCCTAGCCGTTTGGTGACGGCATCCTGGAGATACCCCAACTTCCTGATATGCAGTGAAAGAGAAAAATGTTCGCGCTACCGTCGGCAGCAGAAGCATGGTCGGAATTTTGTGAGTGAGAAATATTTGATTTATTTGACGAAGCTGAATGATTTTCGTTTGCGTCATTATTCACCGATGCAGACATGTTGCGGCACGGTTGGATGTTTTTCATTTGTGAGCAGAGGTGACAGATTCATTTCATGGCGGCACGACGCATTTCCGTTTTTTCGAATTATTGCGTAAGACGCGTGGCTGTTTTTGTTTGTGTATGCAGTAAAAGGGGTGCGTGGTGAAATGGTTTCAGTTGTGGGATGACAAATTGTGAAATGTGCAACGAGCTGTTCAAGTTTGTGTAAAGATAAGTCTCTCAATGATGATAGCGAGAGCAACATTCTGAAAGGCATTCAGAACTGGAGTTGCTAACAGATCTGAGGGAGACAGCATGAATCATGTTTTGGTGCTTGAAATGTTTCAACGTGTTTCAAACACTCAAACTTATTTAAACAAACAAACCATGTCTTGATGTAAAGACTTTTTGTGAGGACATGTGTTTTTGATCGCTTTTGTGAAAGTTAGCAGAAAGATGCTGACTGGCGACTCCATCATTTTGTGTCAAGGCGTGACACACCAACAAGAACCATAGCGACATGAGCAGACATTTCTGTGCTTGTGTGTTTGGTAAAAGTGGCTGAGCTCTGGGAGTGGTTGACTTGGTTGCGTGGACGGTCTTAGTGAGTTAAGGACGACGTCCTGGACGCTGACCCAAGTAGGTTTCGAAGGCTGTCGGCCTTCCGCAGGTTGACCGCGATCAGCTCTATCATGAGTCCAAGGGCATCAACGAGCTCTTGTGTCAGGGCCCGGAAATTCCTGGCAATATGGAAGTTCAGCTCCCTCAGGCAATTGCGGAAGCCTTGTGTGTTCTTGATCTCGATCAGGCCAGAAGGACTCTTGCTCAAGTCCACTTCCACACCCAGAACTTTGCAGCACTGCGAATATGGCACGAGCTTGTCTGAGAAAGCTTCCACCCCAATAACTGAAACAATGTAGATACACACAACTCGGTGTGCTTGTCCAGGCATGCGGGTGTCATGCTCAGGAAGTTATCAAAATAAGAAGTCCATGCAAATTTCAACAGGCTGCTTCCAATGTGCCATATCCCAAGGGCACACCTCAGGAAAGCCGTGACCGAGGCGATGGACCGGAAGGCCTGCCTGTATACTTCTGGCTTTCCCGTGTTGGGGTTGAAAATCACCAGGTATGAATCCTTTTCATAGGCTTCATCTGATAATGGAATCTGCTTGTAGGCTGCGGCTAGGTCCCAACACTTGGACACCAGCTGTAACCTGCGCCCTCTCTGCTGGGCTGCTGCCAGCAGGGAGGAACCCAGACACGCGATGTGGTCAAAGCCATGCAATGTAACAACTTCTACCTGCGTGACCGCAGAGTGAACCAAGCTGGCTTTGTAATCATCTATAGGTCTGACCTTGTCCTTCTGAAACACTCCAAAGCGGCGTGTCAATGTCGCCCCGCTGGGGATGGTTGCTGCATCTATCGGCCCTTCTAAGAAGCCCAACTCCTTCTCCTTCAGGGTCGCTTTCAAGACGCCTTCATCCACCACAGCGTCCCCTGACCCTTTCGCACTGGCCAAGAGCACACTTCGTGCCCGGTCAGCTATTCCCCTCAGAGCTTCAGGGCAGAGCTGCTGGCCGATATTTCTGGGCGAAATGGTTCGATGGCGGCAGCTTCCCCGTGAGGTCAAAGCCGTTGCACATGTCTTCCAGGAGCGAGGTGTCCTTCGATCCTGCCTCGGACAACAACTCCCCAAACAGGAGTAATCTCTTGCCTTCAAGCACTTGCTGACGTCTGAGCGACATGCCCTTTTTGAGGTCATTCTCCTGCTCTGCCAAATGAGACGAGCTGGCAATCATTTTACGCAAAACTTCGGATCTATGTTGTGCAACCGCTTGAGGAGAGTGGTCCGAAATGAAAGCAACTGCGTCTTTCATAGGGCCTGGCATTTCATCAGCGTTTTGTCCAGGATGCCCAGATGCCAATGCCTGTTTCACAAATTCTCCTGGGCTCCGGTGGACCCCAACGGTTTTGTATCCAACACTCGCGATTTCCCCCATGGTGGAAGTGGTGAGCAATCTGGCATTAGATGGGCTCATGTAGTGAAATCTGCTTGGTATGTGAGAGTTCACAAACCCACGGAAGGCCTGTGGCTGAGTGTTGAACCTGGACCTGTTGACGAATGCAATCCAGTGCCTTGGCATGTCTGGCAAATTCAGGAGTTGGGCATTGGGCTCCATGATTTTGCAAATGAAGTGCAACGAGCGTGGCCAGTTTCCTGGCCAAAGGCCAAGGATATGCAGTCTCTTGGGCGGTGGCCCAGCCCTGGTCTGTTTGGCCCCATGGATCGTGTGCATGCTCATTGTTGCAAAGGAGTGCCATGTCCTTAACAGCAGTAATGTTGTGTATCAAGCAGGTGTGTTTTCGTCGAGCGGAGCCATACATGCAGTGATGGAAGTATGTACAAAAGCACGGTACATTTTTGAGAAAATCGGCAAAATGGGTAGTATACCACATGAAACTTCTGGCTGGGTTCTCCACAGAATAGAGCACACCGAGATCTATGGCTATGGAAATTTGACACCCTGTGTGAGAGCACCCTTTGGGTAAGGGTGAAGCGACATGTCATTCATCATTGGTTGTATAGTTTGTGCACAGAGGATACGTGGAAGGCTACTACAAGAGTTCATCGCGTCATGGAAGATTGGTAGAGAACACTCTACTTATTGCGGAAGGAATCTTGTATGTGACCATCCTGTGTCACAATATTCTATTGGTCTTCGGACGTATCATTTCTGACATCAGGATGATGTCATTGATCAGTGTTGACCAGTGATTGTGGTATATTGATCAGTTCTACATCTTATTCTGGATTCGACTTGAGTCTGGTACAGCTTAATGCTTGAACTGAAGGTACCTACATTGGTTTGACATTGAGATTATTTCTTGTGTCATGAACACTGAACACTTAGAAATCTATTCTCTCCAAGTGATGAGAACACAGTTAGAAACTCTTGGAGAAGAGTTTAAGCTAGCTGGAAATATCTGATGGAGAGAACCTACTATGCTTTGAGTTTGGACTATGGGATGCATTGGTATTGTGAAGACAATGGCCATATTTGGGCATCTTATTTGTCTGAGAGTTTTGTGATGAGATGTTTCGGTATTGTGAGGACAATACCTACATCATCGTCATCGTGACCTATGGATCATATACTTGATCTTATGGTGTGCATTTTATCGTTCCTGAGATGACTCTGGTTATCTGTATGAGGACGACATTGTTTGGAGAAGACTTTGGTCTACATTGTGGATTGGCTATTACAGTGGTCGAAAGACTTCAGCGATACAACTGTATTTGGCTGACCTACATTGACAATGTCAAACAGAACATTCTATTCTACATTGAGGTTGGAAGCTGTGAGATGCTATCTCTATGTGGAAAACTGATTTGGAGAAAGAACTTTGTGTTCTGACTATGTTTTGTATCCAGAAGAAGGTTGTACAGACACCTTGTGTGAATCACTTCGTTCTTGAGAAGTTAGTCAGCTTGTGACTAATGAGCTGGTTATTCACGTTTGGATGAGAACCAGTTTGCTTTGAGAACTTTTGGAAGTGTTTCGATGATTTTGAATTCATCTAGTGAAAGTGAGTTTTGTAGATTTGCAGCAGCTAGAATAGTTTCAACAAACCTTTATTTGAAGAACTTGAGGTTTGTTAACTGGAAACCTGGAATCGAGTTTACCAGTTGAGACATCGGCTCGAAGGACTGGTGTCAGAAGTTCATTTAATGAACAAGAGCTGCTGTGTCACATAACTTGACATAAGACAAACCGACACAGGGAACACGAACACATCTCTGTTTCTTTTCCTTTGGTTTGTTTCTGTTTTGTTTGTTTGTTGTGTTTGTGTTTCCCCG